TGCGTGAGCCCAGATAGTACATTGAATGATTTCTGTCGTCTTGACAGAACTCACCAAGGTTGCTGAGAGGTTTTCGACAGTCTACTACCTCTTGGTTATTCTCGAAGCTGAAGAATTTCATAAACGGATTCACTCGAGTTTTTTCCATTCACATCAGTGTAGGACAGAAAGCCCACAGTAACCCAAGCTGGGCAGAACCAGTAGTGAGACTTTTAAAATTTTTCGACGACCTTATGAGTAGTGTTACATCAAGAGAATATACGGTGATATCTAGAATATCATGCCAACTGAAATAAGAGGCGGCATTAGTACAGTACACTCGGTTGGAGGCTAGCCTTTTCTGGTGGGGCTAATTTTCGGTAAGACCGAATTTCATCTCAGAACCAACGTGACACAAAACGTCCGGTATTGCCTTATCACCGTCTACTACTGTTTCTTTTCGTATATTCATTTCAATTCTCATTCAAACAGAAGTTCATTAGCAGTGACGGTCACCTTCATCCACTGTTATCGCACCCTAGGTGGCGCGTTGGAAAAGTCACCACGACTACACTAACTGTTTGGTGGTGGTCCCTGATTAGCTTCCAGTAGAGTAGTCGTGGAGTCCCATAGTGAACGTTCCATACTGTGAACGAATTATCCCACTTTTGAGTAATTACATGTAAGAAAGAAGAGCAAGAGAAGCCATAAATCGTCCGGCAAGCAAATCTCATGAATCAAGAGGTATAGTTGTATGGATTCGAGATCCTGTGCGGTTGAAGCATGTACCGGAATGTCTGGTATGCTCATTCGTTCTACGAGATACAGTGAGTTATTGAAGGGACCGTTTGAATCGACTGTTTAAATTAGAGCACACTACATATAGCTGCACCGGTACCAAGGAGACTAACAGACAATGGCAAAATGTTACATAGTTAAAGACTCGAAGTACAGTGTTCTTGCATTATAAGAAATGCCTTCGAATAAGCGAAAGTAGCATACGTGGTGGCACAAATCCTTATTACATTAGAGATCCTTCTTATGGATACCAACCAACCAATAGACACTTTTTTTGCCAAAATGGTCCACTATCGAGGCTGTAAAATTGTTTCGCTGCATTTCTAATCTACTTGGAAAACGACAAAAGCTGGACACATTTGTACGTCTTTGTGATTTGGCATATCTCCCTGTTACGTACTTCACAGGGAAAGGGATCAATCAAGCGAAAACCTATCAATCCTAGAGTTTATGTTAGTTCTCGGCTCTTTCTTCAATGAATCAAAAAGAAGTAACATCGAACGAGTGAAAACGTATCACTGACTGGGAGGGCAGCAGCAACGTTTGAGTGATACGTGCACGGACCGCAGATCTTGCCTAGACAACCGCAAATAATGATGCAGATTCTGCATTTTTATGGTACAAACCTGGGGCCAGAATAAGCGAGCAAATATACCCAGGTCTAGGCTAGTGAATACTTCATGAGTTATGAGATATAAGGAGTAACTCAAAACCGCAGCAGTGAATTACTGATGACCTGTAAAGCCTTGAGAAAAAACTGTTACATCCCTATTATGTTGTCAAACATGAAGAAAGCGCTGTTTTACGCCCCTTGTTATTGAAAATGAATTGTTTTCTTCCAGTGAAATAGTTGGACTATGCCATGGTGTGATATTACCGAAAAAACAGTCCGTGAGCTACTCACTAAATGCAAGGATGGGACCAAACGTCCTGAGCGCTTGGTCAAACTACGGAACAATAAAATCACAAGAAAAGACCCCGAAGCTCCTTTGTCTGTTGGTTAACCATAGTGGGATCCATACATGGCTGTCGGTCCCATAAAACACTGCTTCTAAAATGCATCACTTTGTCGCACGTAACAACCACACAGCAACTCCCATACCTGCATCAGCTTACGGATAAGCATAAAAAGATGGGTATTCTTGCGATGGACAAAATGTAACCTGAAAAACGAGTTTGAAAGAAGTCATGAAAGGTGTGGGTGGTATCGGTGCATACCACCCTCCAACATGGGGTCCAGGTGACCCGACGCTTGGCCCGTTGCAGGATATGGCGGCCGACCGACACCACTCTCTTTATGTTGTCAGTTTTGGTCTAAATCGCCTTACGGCTCTTCTACATGTAGACACCTCAAAATGATTGTAGTAGTCTCGCAACATTCTCTTTCTCTATCCACTCTTCTCATTTCCAAATCGGAACCTCAAACTTATGAAATAGTTCATCAAGAATGTACGATAATTAGAAGGATTGGTCTAAATTGATGTTCTTGTCCAGACTGGTGACGATGGTGGTTAGATATGTTCTGTTTCAATCACTGCGGCTAAGGAACCCCTCCGTATCTTTATACAATCATATAAACGGTCTCACACGAGACGGCCCTGTAGCAGTAAACTCAAAATAGAAACCTTATTGATTCTTGAGGCCGTTCCTTATCAAGAACCGGCACTGTGATGATAGCCAAGGCAAAGTCAAGCACACAATGCAATGATTTCTTCAACTGTATGAAGGTTACTCATGATCATACACCGCTGTGACGTAGAGTGACTGCCGAAAAACTTTAAGCATATCATAGTAACCCAAAGCATGTGACCCATAATGAATCTGTGAAATCAAGTGTGAATGACCAATTACGTCAAGTAGAATGTATGAAAGGCGAATAAGCAACATTGAAGTTTAAATTCCAACGGAGTTTTTCTGCACTGTTTGGTGAAAAACGAACGTGGATAGCACGCTTATGGGTTGTACTTTTGCTTGCCAAGCGCAAAGTACCATGGAGCTTTTCAGTATCGCTGAGTAAGCTTGTGAACATACCAAAAACACAAGCACTGTATTTTGGAGGCCCATTTATCCAGTTGGGCGCAAAAGCAAGAAAACATAGATTGCGGGATAATACACGGATGGTATTTATCTCCTCGACCGATCAATCAGCAGTTTCATAACCGGAACTCATCACTAAAGAATGTACCATCAAAGCGCAAACATGATTAGTTGACTTGGGAATTGCAAAGTGTGGAAATCGGAATACTTGCAAAAGTTGTAGGGCGAATACCAACAGACCACATATCGTCCACAGTGTGTATGAAAATCCTATTGTTAAGAGCGATGTGGTCCAGCGAACACTAAACGCCTAGGACTTTGGTGTCAAGTCGTACCTTTAAGCTTTATGATACCTTGAAGATATCCTTATTCACCAACGTTAGGTGTCACCCGACTCGGTAAGACCTATGTCACGAACTCTACAAGCGTAGATTGCTTGTCAAAATCTCATAACCTGCTCTTTAGGCATCGGTCGATATTTTTGTGCAAGTATGGTGAGAAAGTAGTAGTAGTGGTTAATTAGTAGTTAGTGCAACACCATTTGAAACAAGTTTTGTCGAAACAGGTTTTTTAGGAAGTAGTAAGAGGTAACAGTTTCAAAGGAGATAACTCTCGCATAAAAGTGGAAGATATATGATTCTCTTGGAACAATACAAAAGGTGCAAAAGGTGACAAAAATAGTATCGGTCACAGGGTGCACCCGGGTGAAAACGGACTATCGATCACCGGGTGAAATTGTAGTGTTTTGGCTTCCAGGAAGCAAGACGAACAAACGTCAGGCTACTTGTGCGTGCGGGAACGTGAAAAATAAACAATGTGAACAGGAGGAGAATTATCCCGCACAAAGGATAAAATAGATTAGAAACTTACTACTTAGAAAGTAAGATCAGAAAAAAGTGCTTTCAAATGGCACGAGCGCTTTTTGAAGAGTCATCAAAATGAAACCAGTAAAGATCGCACGCCTCGATTTGATTTTCGTGCCTAGGAATAGGGCGACGCTACATCCTATCCGACTACAAGCTAATCACACTGCTGGTCAGTGACTTCAAGTTGAATGAGTGTTCATAATATTAGCTAGGGAGTTATAGATTCAAATTATCTTAAATAAGGACAGGTCAGAAGCCTAGATTAACTTCTCTTGTATGATAAAAAAAAACCAGTATAAGGCAAAGGAAGTGAATCAACGTGGTTGAAGGCCGTTACGATCCAGGCAATTTTCGATCGGAATCCGCTTACAAGATTTCCGATTCTTCGTCCTGGAAGGAACTTCTGTGACCTCTAGACTCGAAACGGCACCTGCTTTTTGACCAGTATCATAAAAATTGTGATCTTAAATTTGGTAACTGAATGAGGAAGTACCACAGTTAAACAAGACAAGACAGTGATACGTCTATCACAGTCTCAAGAACCTACTTATGCTCCACCCGTGAGGCTGTTGTAACGGCCAACTTTTAGCCCCGATCAAGACCGTGTACAGTACACTAGTGCACACAAAGCTGCGGACGTGTATGACCCCAGAACTAGGCTGGGAACTGCTCAAAGCAGGAAAAAAGAAACGGCCACGAAAATGTCGTGCACACTTCTCAGTGATTAGAACGTTTTTCTGAGTGAAATTGCCAGGAAAGTGTCACGGAACTGCTTGTACATGAGACAGCACATCATAGGCGGCTCTATAACTGTCACGCTCATTTTTCAGTTGATCGCAGTACCGTTGATGTAAAGGTGGGTGTTCGGATGTGAAATCACAACGGAAATCTTTAGAACTCTAATTTATTCCTAGTCGTATTGATATCTCCTGTCAAGGCTTCGGCTTTCTAAGTTCGCTTTGCAGCTGTGCATCGAAAGGATATGACAACGGTGTGATTTGTGATAAACTAATCGGCCGAGCCCCCCTCAGTGCCATTCTCGCTGGAAGTTGAATGGAACGTTTGAAGTCACAGTCAATCCAGTGTTTGCACATCATTTTGAGGTTGAGGAAAATAAAATTAATGCAACTTGTTGCTGCTTTTGACCCACATCATGCCGCGAATTTTTATTGTACCCAAAAGGTAATCTATTTTATTTTGAAAGTGGCAAGAACTGAGGTGCTTCTAAAACCCTAGGGGGCATATGTCCCTGAATAATCGTTACTAGCAATCAAACGAACATTTAAGTGATCGCAAAAGAGGAAAATAACGCAAACTCACCATCCCAACAATTGGTTTTTTACAAGCAAAACAAAATCCTTTGGGTGCTGTGATTGCGCCTTGCTGAGCAAGCTCATTTGATAGATCACTCATCATACTGGACAAGACGTGATTGGGTCCTTGGACTGAGGAATCATTGTTGACATCGTTTGCCATATCGTTAGGTAGGGCGACAATACGCCTAGCTGGTTGGCGTTGCAATTTTCCGTTTGTAGTGCGCCCCCGAGAGAGATTGTTTTCCGTGTGGTTAGTGTCTACGCTGGTGGTCTGTGCCGGTGTGCCATCCACGCTGTCCGTTGGAGCCGAATGAACATCGAAGTCAGCTGAGGGTGATGGATGTTGTTGCCGTTTTTGTTGTTCCAGCTGATTTGTTAGAAAAGAGATGGGAGTTTACAGTACCTGTCATAGTCGTAGAGTGCAAAAAGCGACCACTTGAATCGTCATTTTCACCGGCAAGAACAGTACAATAATTCTGATAAAACTTGTTAATAATATTGTTGCCTTCCGAACAATGAGTATTGTATTAAATACTTCCCGACGTGTTTGTAGAGCTCGCCATCAGGATGACTCCGAAAAAGATAACAGCCGAGCAATGTAGCCTAGTTGAAAACATTATGAGCTTTTATTTAGACGGCCATCGTTCGAATCCACGATTGACCATCTGCAGTTGGGATTTCGCCCCCAATTTAAACTCATGTACGCATGTTTCATCATTGAAGACTTTGAAGATACTCTCACGTTTTTTCGGAAGAAAATTATGGGAACTTTATCGTATCTATGTGGAAGGAAGGTGGATTAATACATGTGTTAGAGTCCCGAATGAAATGTTGTCATAGAAACAATTTTGGTAGAACACGCTAAAAAATTGGGAAAGGTTTCTATAAGAGGGAAAACTAGATCTAGTTGTTTCACCTCTACTTTCGAACGTATGCATGATGCTGAGTGCTTCACGTGCGGAAAATAGTGACTGAAATTCGTAGACATACTGGTCATAAATAAAGACCTCGATTTATATGAAAGCTTTTTTTCAGCGGCACAAGGCGCGTTCCCACTGAAACATCGACTGTCCTAGTCGAACAAGGCTCATTTGCGATGCCCCATGCTCACATGAAATGTCTATCAGCACTGGAGAAGAAAAGCCAACCTTTATCCAACCTAGGAGTTGGTACACGTTCTTATTGTTTCTGACACAGAAGTAGAAACCCGAAACACGGAACCAAATCGTTAGAGACAAGCTCCTTAAGAAGACCCACTCAGGCCTGTGCTGAAGAGATAAAAAAAATGAGGCGGAGAGACGGACCAAAAAAGGCATTCAGCTACTTAGGGGATAGTGTCCTGTAGGCAGAGTAAAGACACCCAAAAGACATTTAAAAACGCGTGGCTCCGTGAGATAGTCGCTTCGTTGCGACTGCCCACAAAAAGGCTTCAAATGAAATGACGTACGACACATCGAACTTGTCATAGTTTATAGGGGAAACTATTTAGAAGGTTACTGAAAACTCTTTGACAATCCACACTCATTTGTATATCAATTTGGATTTCACAGGAGACTCTAGTGAATCCCTCTTTTGTGATATATTATGGGGTATTCAAGAGTTTTCGGCTTCCTTGTGAGTAGTTTCCTTTATCAAAATATACTGCAAGATCTCGAATATCGCACCAGCTGAAACCTGAGGCGGCATTCGTGCGACACATTTAAATGAAGAATGTCGTAAACAATAGATTCATTTGTATCTCTCGTAAAAACGAAACTGATTTGTAAATCAGTGTATTCGCCGCCATCAGTTGATTCAACTTTTAGGTAGTTTCATTCATTAGATCCAAAAATTTTCGCACCGTTTGTTACTTTTTGTCCAAAAATGTGGATGAACAGCTGAATCAGTACCAAACGCACGAAAGCGCGTTGCGCCTTCGACAATGAATTTGGACGGGGCCGGGTCTTACACGAAAACTTGCTTGAATGTGATCAAGGAGGACAATGTGACTAATGCGAATCCGTCAGATGCTTTCATTGCTTGATTGAACCCGGGTCATCTTACTGGTGCACATCGCTATTTGTTATTCTGTCAAAGCGATACACCAGAAAATCAGGGTGAGAAGCAAAATGTCTCCATTCACTCAGAAAACCTCTATTAATCGATGGTCTGATCAATCATACAAATTCACTAGTTCTGCGGCTGAACCCAGTCCAGTAACCTAGAGTGATTCGATTGACATTCGACATTTGGGATGTCACTAGTTCACTAGTTCATCGAACAAGCTTCCCTTTATCGTCTGTACCACGATCGTTGGTGCTTGAAACTAGTAACATATAAGAGCAGCAAAAGGATGAAATCACCTGTGTGGTGTGATTAACTGGGATGGACAAATGTGACACAAGCGTGGGCATCACAGTCCCACTGCTCTGGGATGCAAATTACACCCGATCTGGTACTGCCAAGGTACCAACTAAGCCAAAGGGTAAGCACATGTACAGAGTATAGCTCACCTTCGTGAGGGGTATCGGCAGCAGTTTCTGTACGCTCATTTTGGGTTGTTGTACTCCTCATTTGACACCAGTCACATATCTTCCGGGCTAAGTTCAGTGAACTTTCTGCACCTTGATGATAGCCAGACATATCCACAACTATACGGAGTTAGTCCGTGTGTGCTTGCGCAAGTCAATGAAAGTAACCACCATCGGTACAATGGACAAGGAAAATGATGAACACGATATCATTGGAGGTACACACCTTAATCTTCCTTGCTGGTGGCTGACTTAGGCAAGTGTCTGGTTTTATGTGTTTTGTACCATCAGGAAAAAAAACCACACCTTTTCAAGCGAATTGCAGACAGGCCTCAATGTAACCGAGGTGTCAAGTGTTGGTCAGGTATCCGGCTGGGGACAATAGGTGTGTCCCTGACATGGGACACAAAAATGTTCGCTTTGTGGCAGTGTCAGTTGCAAGTTTCACGGTCTGACAATCCGTATATTTTTGGCGGGCTTAATGGACAACTTAATGGGACAACCGATAAGTGTCCGTAAGGCTAGACCTACTGGATATATCGAGCCGCACGCGTTTCAACCTTATGGAGTGAAGTGTTTGTTTGTTTGAGACTGGTTGTCATGGTTACAGACGGAGCAACTGAGTCAGAACAGGGTTAATTGAGCCCACATTGCTCTCTATGCAGTTTGTAAACGACGGTCGTAAAGATCTCTGTCGCAATGTGATATAAATTTCGCAATGAATTTCGTCACACCGATAAACACGTATTTCCAAAATGGTCAATCTGTCGCAAGAACCGCTATGATGTGTAGCAATTTTCGAAACCTCTAAGATTGCTAGTCTTGTGTAAGTGCGTTTGTACAACGAATACCTGTCTTGCTTCCTATATGCGATCTACTTAATCAGATGTATCATCGAAATCATCTGAAAATACGACAAAAACTTGTTGCAGACTAATAAAAGCCATGAATCAGTGGCGTTAGAATTACACGAATAACGATGATGAAATCATCGGCATCTGTTGTTTACGATCCTAGAAACAAACAATCAAATATATTTTTTTACGATCCTTTTATAGTGAAGGTGTGGCACGTTTGGTTGTTAATCCGATCAAACGTTTACACACCCTAGGTATGACTCGTTGTGAAGAACACACTCAAGTGAATCATAAATTGACCTAAACAATTGATCGGTCTTGATGAACTGACCTATACCTATGCCCCGGCCCGATTATAGGTGATTTGTAATCACCCTATATAGCTCCACGGTTATTCTTACATTGGGAAGAATCACCAGTGGTTGCAGTTTGCGCGATAATGTCAGACGACTGATTGTACTGCACTGTTATCCACCCATTTACGTCAACTGAACATACAAGTTAGTCGGGCACATTCGACACCTCCTATTAGGCATGGCAAAGAGCGGGTGCATCAACCGATAGGCTGTACAACTGATTTTACGGTAGCTGATTGGGAACTTCACTTCGCCAAGCCACACCACTGGTATCAGCCATTGCTGTACAAACTCTTATGGTTTAACAGGTGCAGATGAACACGTACGTTTACCTTCGGATTATCTCTGCTGTTATCAAGTCTGGAATTGCTCGACAATTAGAGAAAACAGAGGTTATCACGAAGTGCGTGAGCATAGTTCACCCCACGACGTTTACCAAAAAGAAGATCTACAAGTAAATATTTTTGGTTTTCAAATTGTTTATTTATTGACACGAAGGTCCTCGGAAGAGGACACAACTGCAATGGAACACAGAATCAATTTAAACTAATTCAACCACTGGGCAGTTCGTGAGGTTAACTTGGCTGAACTCGGTCGATATAAGTGCTTAGGTCTGGCTTAATAATTGACGCTAACTAAATTATATATACATATATATATATATATATATAATTCATACTGCAGTCTTTTCTCAGTTTATCAACCTTTTCACAGCATACATGGTGTGTTGTCGACCTATGCGTTATACATCCAATCTTACTACAGTGGCGTTAGTCCAACACAAAATCGCTCTGTAAGAGCGTGAAAACTCGGAAAAAGTGTGCCAAAACAAATTTTCGCCTCGATTTTTTGGACTACGTGAAAACCGGGCTCGTTGGCCATTTAGGAGACGACAGTCCCTTAAGGCTCCAGGTTATGCACTATGAAGCACTCGCGAAGCGACGTAAGTCTTTTATGGACAGTTACGGATAGCTAAAGATTTATGAGGTGGATTGGCGCGCGCTCTGAATGGAATGGAACTTCCTGTACCAGTGTTGCAGACCAAGAAATATGACAGGGAAGTGAATAAGCGACTTATTCAGTGGTCTGTCATCTTTTCCGTTGCAGGCGACAGTCCAATAAGTCGACCGAGGTGGTTTCCCAACTGTGCACAGGCGTCCAGTGTACTAACTACTGCTCCTCGGTAAGCCCGCCTTGGATGTCGATCATTCACCATACATAATATACGTGCACATACATGCAATAAAGATGTTAAATAACCTTCCTGTGGGCAATTATTTAGGTGAATAAAAAAAATCTCCATCTTGAACGTGTTCCCATGAATATGCATTTCCTCAAATTGCCACAGAAAGTGCTTCACAAGCGATATTTATCCACAGATCATGAATAATTTGACATGAATAACTTAACTACTCTTCATCAGTATCACGTTTCTGCTTTGTTCTTTTGCTTTCCCGCAGTGGGAAAACGTGTTATTCCTTTCTTTAATGCATTCAAAACATGGGGACCAATAAGGGAATTACGGAATACCTATTATCACCGTTTAACTTTGGATCCCAATTAAACGAGCGGTTAGGGCGTTTTGTCTAAACCTGGTCAGGCAGAACTACAGGGAACCAGAAGAACAAATAAAAAATGTGCTAC